ACTTTTTTTTTACTGTGACTTCTATGGAGAACATTTCATATTTAATATAATTATAAAATTACTCATTAAAATCTAATTTTGTATAACTTAATTATATCATAATTTATAATATTTTAATAATAATAACAAATTTAAAAAACCTAAATTATTAAAAAAATAATAAATATTTATATATTTTAATAATGATATATCTTATGATATTTTTAAATTTTTAATTAATAATTAATAAAATATATTATATTTTATCCATAATATTTTTAAAAAATAAATAATTAAATATCAAAATAACTTTTAATTACAACTACAGTAAAGGACACAATTCAATTCAAGATAATCACAGCAACAATCATACCCACAGCACTTAAGAGCAATTCTAGCTACAGTAGATTTTTAAAATTATAATTCAAATTTGTTAGAATTCTGTTCGCGTTCATCAAGCTAAATTCTTGAACTCCTGTATGTTTATGTTTGTTAACCCTGTTACTTGTTCTATCTCTAGCTAGTGTCGTGCATGATCATGAATCAGGTTGACTACATTACTCAATCAAGTCAAGATTACACACATTTAACGACCAAATAGACAAATTGCGATTAACTAATCCACTTATTAGCCACATGCAGAATTCTTGATATATAGTTTTTTTTAGTAAGGTTTTGCAAAGAACATTCCTTGGGCTGTTTTTGGGCTGTTTTCACAAAATCAAGAAAAACTACATGAAACATTACAATTTCAATGAATGCGAAACCAGAATTGAACAATTTTCAATTTCAGAAACTGAGTTCCATGTGAAAGAGGTACATGATGATGAAGAGAAGATGAAAGACAGAGCAACTCCTTCAAAATATAATTAAGTCAGATCCCGCGAAAATTTCAGAAACTTCAACGGAAATGGAGGCTCCGACGAGAAAGCGCTGAACAGAGAAAGAAAACGAAGTGAAAGAAGGACAGAGTCATGTTTGAAACAGAGCCTGAAGGGCGGAGTAAGAATGAAGGAGAAACCCGTGATTGAATTGAAAGATGGCTAGAAAGGGAGATTGCGTATCCTGGCCTACCCATAGGCCCAATGGCTAAGCATTTGAGTTTTCCAAATGCTTGAGTCATGGGTCTTGGGTTCAAGGGCTGGTAAGAGAAACAAAAGGAAGATTGTGTATTGGTGTTAATGTGTTTGGGCTTTGTTTTAACGCCTAGTATTAACTATTAAGTTTTTTTCATTTTTTGGGAGGCCCATAGGCCGTCGGACCGAATGTTAAGTCTTTGGGTCAAAATCTGAGCCATTCGGTTCAACCCAGATCTTATGGCCATTCTCATTTGAGTCGAGATTTTTTTTTCTTTAATATTGGAGCAGACATGGAAAGAAAACAAACAGGGAAATAATTAAAAAAAAAAAAGAAATACTTTAATTATACATAGGGTCTGTTTTATCATTCAAATTATTTTGAACTACAAAATAAAAACTTTTTAAAAAAACTTAATATCAAATAATTATATTTCTTATCGAAAAATCATAATTTTATAATTCAAAACAGTTTGAATTGTAAAATAATTTTTTTTATATATATATTTCACAATTTCATATTATTTTGTACTCTCACCGAGCTATTTGTGCAAATTCAAGTTTGTCTATATGCTCATAACTAACTCAACTTATTTACAACAATATCTCAACTGCCAAATTACTAGATGCGCAGATAGACTAATAGACCAATTTTATTCCATTATCTTAAAATTAATGCTCAATATCAAATTATCAATTTAAGCACTATTGAGCTCCAACAGTTCACCTTTCTAGACATTCTGTCCTTCACAAATGCCCTTGTCCTGAAGGCATATAAAATCCTCCTATCATCGTCTTTTTAGAACAACATAAGTTATCCACGAACTGGACCATAAGGCCGGACAGAGTCCGCCCATGCTTCAAAATTCCTACTTGTGCTTGCCCCTTCTCCTTTTTGTACCCCGAAAAGGTTCATTGGTTGACTTTGGTGGGGGCTAAGACTTTTCCCAAGTATTCTAAAATTGTAACG